AGAAAAGTAAAGGGTGAATTTGTGCTTTTCTGCTACCGTCTTACCTTCCAATCATTAAACGTCTCAAAATGCTGAACTGTGAGAAATTTTACCAAATAACTTCTTAAAATGATTATCTTTTAAACACAGCATAACAGACACACAGTGAGACTGCATTATCTGCTTGAGACAGCGGCTGTGACAGCACTGAATCACCTTCTTATTCACTAATGCTGCTTCAGAAACATCTAAAGAAATGATACTTATAATAACAGATTATCACACAATCTGAATTATACATTTTACAGAGACCACAGAATGTGAGGTGTTGGTGTTTGTGACTTTATCTCCTGAATTTTCACAGTGTCTCAAAATCTGTCAGCATATTTGAAGCACAAAATATCAGACTATCAAACTCCCGAAGAGGAAGAAATTTTACTGAAGAATTATTCAGTTGTGACTCAACAAAACAGTTTTCTAAACAGTGTGCAAACTGTATTTTTGCTTCTTTACTATGACATTATTTTCAGTCAAAAAGTCTCACACACCTCACACTCACATCTATCACAGCGTAACAGAAACAAACATACTGCAGGATTTTGATATTCTGTGATATTGTCCTTCAGATGTGACTGTAAGATATTAAGATATTAGACATTTTGAAGATCAGGAGATAAAATCATAGCAAATAAGCAGAAAGTAGATTAATTAACAGATCATTAACGAGACTAATTCAAAAGTACTAGTTAGTTTTTATGTAATTATTTATATGAGAAAACACACTAATCAGTTCATTAACAGTGAAAAATCAGCAGTTATTACACAATTAAGGAGTAAATAAGCTCTGAACTAATAAACTAAACTAACTGTTAAAAGTGAACTCGGTTACTAATTACTAAGTACATAATAAGTTACTAAGAAATAACCAATGCTTAATCAACGCTTAATTAATATATGAATAAGTATATAAATAAGTAGTCAGTAAATTATTAAAGACATAATTAATCTTTAATTTTTGAACCTTAATATAAAGTGCTTCTGAGTAAATATGGAGTCCTGGTCCTGTGCTGTGTAAATATATAATACTGGGTTTTATACTAAGCTGAGCAGCAACATTAACAGCAGCTTTATTTAAACAGCATCTGTCATAATTAAAAGGAAATAAATAAGAGAAAAATTCAAATTCCACAACAAACATGCACTGAAACAGAAACTGAAGAGTCAGTGCTGTAAAATCCCTGATAAGCTCAACTCTGACACTCAAACCTCAGACTCAGTTCTGAATCTCAGTCTTTCACCTGTTTGTGATTCATTACTTTCTAAAAAACCTGCAGCTTTTAAGTTTAAAAGACGAGCTTAAGTCGTCTCAAAATATAGTTCTGTGATCACTTGAGTTTTTAATTTAAAGTCTCTACTATGTACCTGATCAGATCTGATAAAGTTTATAGTGCTGACTATATAAACATTTCCCTCACTTATGAAGTTTTATATGTTTTATTGATTGCCGTAACAGTTCATTTCTTTACTGTTTCACGTTCTGCTAAAATGACTCTGCTTGTTAATGAACCTGTGATGATCACAAGTTCAGATGTGGGAGTTTTGAGAATGACGTTCTCTCACAGCAGCCTTTAAAACACTCAGAGCTGCTAGTTCAGTAACTTATTAACAAACTGACATAAACAGAGACTCAAACCACCATCATGATTAGAATAGTTGGCATGTTAAATGTCAGACGCATCAGCGCTACAGAGAGCTTTTAATCTGGACCGAAACAACACAGGTTTTTAGCCTGATTTTAACCCAGATCTCCGGAGTGATCAGAGGATCTCAGATATTTTCAAACATGTCTGATTTTTATGACTCAGAATGTTCTCGAGTCCTGTAATGTGAGATGGTCAGTGATGGAGTAACCTACGGAATCACAATGATAATTAAAAATGATGGTTCTTGAAGGTTCCTTTGTACAGAAAATAGTTCTATATTTTCTAAAACCATGAACACTCAAAGAATCATTTGTATGCTTAATTTTTTTTTTCATTGGAGTGCTGTAGACGGTTCTATATAGAACGTTTTTGAAAAATCTTCTATATAGTACCATAAAGGGTTCTTCTATTTCTACAATATCAACACTGTCTTTAATAAAGAACCCTTGAAGAACCATCATTTTTTAAGAGTGCAGTTCAGCTTTGTGTGTGTGATGTGAAAACGGGGAACTCTGGGATTTTGAGTTCTTACTCGTAGCTGAAACTGGTTCTGTTTGTTCTACTCTCTCTCTCTGCCTGATCGTCTAGTGTTGCGCAACCTCACGACAAAAACTCCAAGAAACTCTGTGAAAAAATGACGTTAAACTGTCCAGCAGACTGTCCAACAATTTTAAAATATGATGTCCAAACAAAATGGAAATGTTTTGTTTATTAAAACAAAAAACTGGCATAATCTCTCTACTAATATGTTGTCATTGTTGCACTGTGATAATGTCATATGACTGCAGAGGAATCAGTCCTACAGAAAATAAGACAAAGTTTGTCTCCTGGGTGATGATTCACATTCTAGCTAAAGCTGGAAAGGCTGAACAATATATTTGATTTAAATGAGATCTCTGACTCGCTGTTCCTCACTCAGTGGAGAAGAGAGTAAACATTTGATGCAGCAACAAAAACAGCAACGTACTAGTAAAAGATTTAGTCTATTTTCAATAATAACTAAAGTTTTCTTTACTTGGTTTATACAACATTTTAATTTTTTTTTTTACTTAAATATTCATCTATTATCTGTGTTTTTTTTTTCAAAACACACACACAGTTTCCTCATTTCCCAAACTAAATCAGAGAGAGGTGTTTGTGTGTCATGGAGAGACTCAGCAGCAGTGATAGACTAATAATCAGATGAGCTTTATTAGAGCTCAGAGAGGAACAGCAGAGATCTTCAGAGTACAAGAGACACTGATGATCATGTTCTCCCTGTATGAGCCCAGAACTGACAAGTCAGTCCGTCTCCAGTTCTCCACACATCTGTCTTCATCTCTCCCATCAGAAATAGAAGATTGAGAAATGCAAATCTGAATTTATATCTAAAAATCACATCCAACACTTCAATAAAAGCAACCAGAAGCTTAAATGAGATTCTCAACACAAGGAGATAAAAACAAAATAAAACAAAAAAATGAACAACTTTTCAATTTTCAGTTCTGTGAAATAAAGTGCCAAAAGTTTAATATTGAAAACATCTATTTGTTTAATATTTTTATATTAATAATTAAATATTAAATTAAATGTTAAACAATTAATATTAAAAAGAAATATTCTATAGTAAACTTAATGTATGATTTTCACTGAACATAAAATATCAAGCAGCAATAAATCAGCACTTGTTCGTGAGTTAAATGTTGTGGGAGTGTATTTTGTTCACATTTCTAGAGACAAACAGCCAAAATAGACTCAGGTAAACAGTTTAAAGGTCACTCTGATTCACACAGGAGCCACACTGCATGCATTATGCATCATTATTAATATTCAATGTTTTCAGGGCTCTCAAGACACAAACTTCACATTGCTGCAAGTTGTCCTTTGTTTCGTCAAGCAGTATTTAAAACGAGCACCCTCTGATTGGAAGGGAATGTTGTCAGGGTGAGCCACAAGAAGCCCATGGCAACACTGCCTTTTTTGAGACACTTTACTGGTAGAGAGCAATAATGAACCAAGCACCATTTTAAGAACTAGCTTCCAATTTTCATTTTTTGTGATTACTGAATAATATAAAAGAAAATTAAGTCACAATACACCCTCTGTTGGTCATTCTATACAGAGGTTTCAAATTTGGTTATAATCAGACAACTGCTTTTTTTTATTTTTATTTTTTTTAAGTCAGACTAAGCCAAGTCACACCAATTTGTTCAAGTCTTGTTTGCTTCTCTGTTTTAAAGTATGCCAATTGCAATTACTGTTGGAGCTCCTTCTATTGATTGGAAGAAATGTTGCGATATATTAAGAATATAATAGATATGTTAAAATCTACTAGCCTGACTTCCTGTGTAATTTGTAAAAAAATAAAAAAATAAATAAATAAATGTATGTGCAAGTTTTAAGTGTTTATGGGGTGAGTTGTTTGGACCCTTTGTTGTTTTCTTACTTTATTCTCACAGAGATTAATGATATTTCAGCTTGTTGGCACTAGACTGACCAATGTAATGTCTACCTAACATTGATTCAAGCCACATTTCAAAGCTCATTATTTTCTGCATAACTATGACATTTAATCACAATCAGAGCATCAGTGATGGATTTATAGACTCCTGTGTCACAATAAGCCAGGCCAAGGCTGAGCTGTGCTGATAATGCAAGATTTGTTTAATAGTTAAAGACCTTCCTGGTTAGACTGTCCTGGTTGTTTCAGGACCATGATTGAGAGGATGCAATAAAATCCATTGAGTAGTATAACAAATCAGTTTTTAAACTTTAACTATTTGCTGGTAAACAACAAAAAAAGACTTGCATTTGCAAAATTGTCAGGTTTAGTTAAAAGCATAACATTCAAAAATTCCCTTGTGATTTGGCTCCCTCTGGTGGACAAAAAAATCTATCACCTGATTCTGTGAACTATATTTGTTCAAATCAAATTACAGGATTTCCTGTGACGTTAAGAACCATACATATATTTGCAAAGTGTTAAGGCTCATTAAGCTGTATTATTTGAAACAACTGTAATGTCTTTTTTAATCTTAGATAGAACTTATGATTCTATAGATTGTTGCCAGCACATTGAGCATTGTAAGAGTTAACTTAAGCCGGTTCAAGCCAGTTTTCATGTTTTCTCAGCTGATTATTCTGAATGTACATATGAAATTCATACATAAAAGTCAGAAACCTTCCATGCCACAAGATAAATATTTTAAAGCCTACAGCTGTATGTATATTTGAAGTTGTAATTTGCATTTAATACGGAAGCTCTGGTGGCCGGAGAATATATTGCAATTCCTTCGGCCAAGATGAGTTTAAATAAAATATAAATATTTCCTGTGCAATTTTGGAACAAACATTTGATTTTGGAATAACATATAACAGAAAAATTGCCCAAAACAATCCTGATCTGTAGCAATTTTTGTGAACTAAGCTAAATTTCAATGGGTTTAATTGGCACATGGCAGCCATATTATTTTTTTATTTATTTTATTCTTGAAAAACCTTAGACTAGTAGACAAATGTAGATGATACATATTTTGCCAATTTTGATGGAAAATTTGGGGGAGGCACCAAATAGAACCAGTGAGGCATATTGTGGAATAGAACAAGGACTAGGCAGAATCAAGAATTTTGAATGTAGGCCTCATGGTTCAGGAGATGTGGGCCAAAATGTGACAGAGTAGAAGATTCTTCCTCACTGAATATCAGACATTCATTTATTAGTGTTGTTTGTTTACTATTTTCTTTCTCATGAAGCTTTCTGTACACAAACACACACGTCCATCTAGTTCACACACTCATACTGTATTTACACACACTGTGTCTCCCTCTGCTGCTGGAGCTCCTCACACACATTCAGAAATCACTTCATCTCTTCATTTTGTCGTCTCTTTGGGGATCAATAATTCACATCATCACACACTGAAAAACAAAGCACAAAAAATAACTTTCATTATAAAAAATAAAAATCCTTCAATACAAAATTAGTCAAAATAATAATCAAGTTATTCATTTAAAAGACGTAGAATCAGTTTCCTACATGTAGCTTAATCACAGAGATTTTACAGTGTGAATCACTATCGGCATTTCAGTTTAGTCTAAGATCAGATTTAATCCCTGTCTGAGAAAGCAGCCCACAGTGTGTGTGTGTGTGTGTGTGTGTGTGTGTGTGTGTGTGTGTGTTTGTACACATTTATCTGGAATCATTGTTACTCACATTAGATCTTGTAGTCTGTAATGTTTATCATGCTTAAGAGCAAACAGCAGCTCACGTCCTGTCTTTATTTGGTGATTCCCAAACAGATTCAGCTCTCTCAGATTTGAGGGGTTTGATATCAGAGCTGCAGTCAGAGCAGCACAGCCTTCATCTGTGATATTACAATTGAACAACCTGCAGAAACAACAATGACTGAGTCTGATGTGGATGTAAACAATGGTAAAGCTAAAGTACATGCTTCTGTTGATGAAGATGTATGTCTCTAAGCTGATATTACGTCAATCACACACACTACATTTCTTTATTTATTCTGGAACAAAAAACTGGTAAAGTTGTGTTATGCTACACTTGGTGGTTGATTGCCAACAGTCAGTAAAATGATGGGTATAAAAAGAACATCCCAGAGAGGCTGAGCCTTTCGGAAGTGAAGAGGAGAAGGGGTTCACCACTCTGTGAAAGACTGCACAGGCAAATAGGGCAACAATTCAAGAATAACATTTCTCAAAATTAAATAGCAAAGAACTTTTGTTTTTCATCATCTACAGTCGGTACATAATATCATAAGATTCAGAGAATCTGGAGAAATCTCTGTATGCAAGGGACAAGGCCAAAAACCAGTATTTGCTGGCCGTGATCTTTGGGCCCTCACTGCATTAAAAACAGATGTGGTTCTGTAGTGGAAATCACTGCATGGACTCAGGAACACTTCTGAAAACTGTCTGTGAAAACAGTTCATCACTGCATCCACAAATGCAAGTTAAAACTCTAAAATGCAAAGGAACCATATATAAACAGGGTCCATAAACGCTGAAGCCCATTTTGAATTTGAAAAACGTTTCAAAAAAGTTGGGACAGGGGCTTGTTTACCACTGTGTTAACACCTCTTCTTTTAACAACACTCTGTATTTGGGAACTGAGGCGACACTGCTGTAGTTTTGAAAGTGAAATGTTTTCCCGTACTTGCTTAACATATGATTTCAGCTGTTCAACAGTTCGGGGTCTCTTGTCGTATTTCTCTTTTCATAAAGTGCCATATGTTTTCAGTGGGTGACAGGTCTAGAGGCAGGCCAGTTTAGCACCTGGACTCCGCCTGCCGCCTTATCTGGGCCCGAGCTCATTTACAAGGGACTGAGGAGAAGTGTAAAAGTGTCCTGTTGTCCAATAAAACAACATTTGAAATTGTTTTTGGAAATCAAAGACACTGTGTCCTCCAGGCTAAAGACCACTCAGCTTGTTATCAGCATACAGTTCAAAAGCCAGTATTCATGATGGTATAGGGGAGCATTAGTGCACATGGCATGGGTGACGTGCACATCTGTGAAGGCACCATTAATGCTGAACAACAAGCCTTGGCGACAGTGGCAAGGAAAAACTCCCTCAACAGGAGGAAGAAACCTTGAGAGGAACCAGACTCAAAAGGGGAACCCATCCTCCTCTGGTCGACACCGGATAAGAGGACAGACACAAAACAGTATAAGTGGATACAGTTTAACACCACTGTGCAGTGCGCTGGCCGCATCTCAGGTCAGACCCTCTTAGGACAGGCAGCCACTCAGCTCAGGGAAAGAGAGGGGAAGGGGAAAGAGAGGAGAAGGGAAGGTAGGGGGGAGGGGGGATGAGAGGGACATAGTTAGAAAAACAAATTAATCAAAGGCTCGACTAAACAGGTAAGTTTTTAGCCTAGACTTAAAGATGGAGGCTGTGTCTGAGTCCCGAACGCAGACTGGTAGGCTATTCCAAAGCTATTCCAAAGGGGGGCTTTGTATGAAAAGGCTCCTCCCCCTGACGTAACTTTATTTATTCTGGGTACTAATAATGAGCCCGCACCTTGTGATCTAAGTGGGCGTGTCGGTTGATAATAGGAAATAAGGTCACTGAGGTACTGAGGATCAAGGCCATTCAAAGCTTTATACGTCAGTAGAAGAATTTTGTACTCAATGCGGAATTTAACTGGCAACCAATGTAAGGTACACAAAATTGGGCTAATGTGGTCGAATTTCCTGGTTTTGCTGAGAACTCTGGCTGCAGCGTCCTGGACTAACTGAAGCTTGTTAAGGTTTTGGCTGGAACAACCAGAAAGCAGAGCGTTACAGTAATCTAACCTGGACGTGATGAAGGCGTGAACTAACGTTTCTGCATCCTCTAGCGACAGTGCATTTCTTAATTTAGCGATGTTACGCAGGTGGAGGAAAGCTATTCTGGTAATATTGGTAATATGCTCATCGAAGGCCAGACTGGGATCAATCGTGACACCAAGGCTTTTTACAGATGTGCCTGGTGCAATTGAGGAACTATCGAGATTAAGAGTAAACGTAGGCAGATTATCCCTAGCAGCTTTTGGACCAAGAAGAAGGACTTCGGTTTTGTCCGAATTTAGTAAAAGGAAGTTGCTTGACATCCATTCTTTAATGTCTTTTACACAGTCCTCTATCTTATTAAGTTCAGTTTTGTCCTCTGGTTTAGCTGAAATATATAATTGTGTATCATCGGCATAGCAGTGGAAACTGATGCCATGTTTTCTAATGATGGTACCTAGTGGTAGCATATATAAGGTAAATAACATGGGTCCTAAGACAGAGCCCTGTGGAACACCATACTTTACTCTTGTGAGAGCTGATGGTTCACCATTTACATTAACAAACTCAAAGCGATCACTAAGGTAAGATTTGAACCACGAAAGAGCTTTACCTGTCACTCCTACTAGTTTCTCAAGCCTGTCTAATAGAATGGAATGGTCTATTGTGTCAAATGCTGCACTAAGATCGAGTAAAACCAGTAAGGATATGTTTCCTTTGTCAGCGGATAATAAAAGATCATTTACAATTTTCACTAACGCTGTTTCGGTACTATGGTGAGGCCTGAAGCCGGACTGAAATTTTTCATATATATTACTCCTATGCAGATGGGAACATAATTGTGGATGTTCCAAGGATGGCCAAATGCTTAATGTCTATATTAAAAAGAGTCCATATTAAAAGAGTCCAGGTGCTAAAGTGACCTGCCTGCAGTCCAGACCTGTCACCCACTGAAAACATATGGCACTTTATGAAAAAAGAAATAAGATAAGAAATCCTGAACTGTTGAGCAGCTGAAATCATATGTAAAGCAAGAACGGGAAAACATTTCACTTTCAAAACTACAGCAGTGTCTCCTCAAATGCTTACACAGTGTTGTTAAAAGAAGAGATGATGAAACACAGTGGTAAACATTAAGAGACCCTTATAAGTCCCACAATGGGGAAATTTCACCTCCGCATTTCACCCATCTGTGCAGTGAAACAGCACATACACACTAGTGAACACACACACTAGGGGGCAGTGAGCACACTTGCTCGGAGCAGTGGGCTGCCCTATCTGCAGCACCCGGGGAGCAGTTGGGGGTTAGGTGCCTTGCTCAAGGGTACCTCGGTCATGTACATTATTTAATCTAAACTCATAAACTGATCTTTATTAACAGGAATAATATGCTACTTACATATTATTTTATTCATCATTAGTTAACAGTATGTAGTGTAGACCAAAATGGCTGTAGTTTGTAGTCAGTATTTGAGTTTAGAACAACAGATAAGAAATTAATATCTACCAAATGTGGTTTAATCAGGTAGATTTACTTCACCCTTTATACACCGTAGCAGGTTAAACAACATGAGATACAGAGAAGCAGCTCGGCTAATGCTGACAGCCTTCAAAACAAAGTATGATAAAATCCTGAAGACCAGATGAACCACTCAGATAAAACTTAAAGCAAAATAATGCAAAGTTATCACATTTATATTCAACTTATCAAGCAAATCCACAAAGTGGAAATATACCGTATCATTTGCAGATAACGATGGACAGCATAGTGTACAGACACAACAATAAAGTTTTAATACTCTGTTTAAGCAATAACAGTGCTAGCAAAATAAGAGCCCCGAATATGTTAAAGTTTATTATGTGCATGTCCTTTATTTTTAATCGTTTTCAAAAACATCAACAATAACAACAATTACTATTACTATCACTACTACTACTACTACTACTAATAATAATAATAATAATAGTAATAATTATAATGACAACAATAATATTCACAATACATCTAAGTAATTTTGGGGAGATGTTTGTTGAAAGAGCGTTCTTATCCTAAAAGGTCTAACTTCATATTTCCACAACAATAAAAGGGGGCTTTTCCCTGTTTACAGCATTATTATTGATGTGGTGGTTATTAAAAATAATAATAATAATAATAATAAATGTCAACTAAAAAATAAATAACTATTAATATATAATCATTATCATTTTATTATTATGACATTTTTAATGATAAAAATTGGACAATGTAATAATGATAATACTAAAAGCAGTGTCTGCTAATATAATACAATATAATAGTTTAAAATATGTATCCAATTTGAGCTTGTTATTTATTAATAAACAAACTGCATAATACAGATATGCAGATAATACAATATTTTAATATTATAATGAGGATAATTATTATTAACAATAAAAAATATTCTAACAACTATAGGCTATTTCTGTTGATAATAATAATAAAAAGAATAATAATAATAATCATTATTAGTAGTAGTATAAGTACCAGTAGAACATACATACATACATACATACATACATACATCATCTAAACCGCTTATCCTTCTGGGTCGCGGTGGGGTGCTGGAGCCTATCCCAGCGCTCACTGGGCGCAAGGCAGGATACACCCTGGACAGGTCGCCAGTCCATCACAGGGCAGACAGACAGACATACACATTCACACACACATTCACACCTAGGGGCAATTTCAGCATGTCCAATTGGCCTGACTGCATGTTTTTGGACTGTGGGAGGAAACCGGAGTACCCGGAGGAAACCCACGCAGACAAGGGGAGACCAGGCAAACTCCACACAGAAATGACCCTGGTCGCCCGGCCAGGAATTGAACCCAGGCCATTCTTGCTGTGAGGCAACAGCGCTACCCACTGCGCCACCGTGCCGCCCCTACCAGTAGAAAAATAATACTATTTTTTCTTTTTCTTTATCTTTTATATATGCCCTTATATTTTTTACTTTTCATTCAATAATAACGATGCATAACACATTATTTGTTACAGATTATTACTATATGTGTTCATGATAAGTTTATGCATAGTTACTAGGTTACTAAGGAGCCATATTGAAAAGTGAATATACCACATATGCTTTACTGGGAGAATATGCATTACTGAGGAGGATGTCATGTGAGACTCTCAGAGATGATCTTACCTCAGTGTCTCCAGTTTACAGAGAGGATTCTCCAGTACAGCAGAGAGCAGCTTCACTCCTGAATCTACTAGTTTATTATCAGACAGAATCAGCTCTCTCAGGTGTGAGGGGTTTGATTTCAGAGCTGAAGTCAGAGCAGCACAGCCTTCATCTGTGATATTACAATCACACAACCTGCAGAGAGAACAATGACACACTCTTCACTCTCTCAGTTCAGAACACACAGATCAGTTCAGCAGGACCTTTTTAACAAGGTGTGACGAGTCATAAAACAGGTTTATTTAGCATATATCCACTTATTATTGCCACTTTATTTATAAAGCACTTTTCAGACATAGAACAGCTTAAACTGCTATCAAATAAAATAGTAAAATAGTATGGTTAAATAGTATGGTTAAATAGTTTTGCAAATGAAACAAAATAAAGTGAAATTAAAAAGGTAAAAAGGAAATACAAATATGCAAACTTGCATTACAATTTTGAAGAAGAGATGAATTAAAAAGATAAAATTGTGTTCAGGTTAAAAGTGGCAAGAACAGAAAACAAACACAATAAACAGCTTTAGGTGAGAATGCAAAACCTCCAAAGAACTGAAACAAACATCCTCAGGATATTAATTCTGAAACAACAGACTCAAATAGAGATCAGAGAATATTTGCGATTAGAGAACATGTCTTACTGAGGACCAAGTCATGTGTGACTCAGAGAGATGATCTTACCACAGGTTCTCCAGTTTACAGAGAGGATTCTCCAGTACAGCAGAGAGCAGCTTCACTCCTGAATCTCCTAGTTTATTCAGAGACAGATTCAGCTCTCTCAGGTATGAGGGTTTTGATTTCAGAGCTGAAGTCAGAGCAGCACAGTCTTCATCCATGATATTACAATTAAACAACCTGCAGAGAAAACAATGACACACTCTTCACTCTCTCAGTTCAGAACACACAGATCAGTTCATCAGGAACTTCATCAACAAGATGTGACTACAGTCATAAAACACAGATTTATTAGTAGAATTTTATTTTGCAGATCTGTAGTAATGGTAATTCTGGTTATATAACTTAAGGTAAAGCACAATAAAAATGTTTTATAAAGACAAACGTGGTGTGGTTTGAGCTAATTTCTGAGAACTGTGTCAGATCTGTGCTTTATAATAGAGTAACAGTATTTTATTGACAGGTAACACAAAAGAAACATGTGAACAGCCCTGATTCTGTGTAATCTCAGTACATTTACCTCATCTACCTTTTCTGTAGGTGGAGCTACATGTAGAAGTAATAGAACAACCATGATTGATTATAATGCAGTAACAAGACTACAGTATAGTTACATTATTTTAAAGAACTGATATTACAGCTCTAATATATTTTAGTTTCACTGTAATTACAGTGTGAAACAATGTCTGCGAATCAGTGTGCCTCACCAATGCATAATAGGTATGAAATAAAGAAGGAATATAGAATAAATCCTAATATTATAAAAACCTATAAAAAAAACTGAAGTGATTTTTTAAGGAATGTATAATACAAGCATATAATGTAAAATATAAAATATTTTTAATAACTTTTTTTTTTAGTTTTACTCACTTTTGCTGTAATCATTAAAATTTGTCTTTTTGGGCAATTAAAGTTCATTGCCATTATTTTATATTTTACTAAAAAATCATTATTACCATTTTATTTATTACTTCAGTTACTAACTTACTATTTATTAACAACTAGAAAATGAATATGCAATTCTTAGGTTGGAAGAACTTGAACTACCATAATATAACCATATTATTACACACTTATTACTGTGACTTTATACATACAGCAGCTCATAACAACAGAAGGAGGACTTTTTTCTGTAATTTACAGAACATTTACTGAAAGGTTTGTTTCAAAAATCAGTAGCACAATACCGTCACTCAGTAACCTGTAACTATGCAAGAACAAATCATGAACTAATACAGTAATGAATTAAGTATTATGCTTCTTTACTAATGAACAAACATGAGGAGGACACAATTTATGGGTTGTTTCAGGACATTTAATGTAAAGTATGTGTGTAAAAGTTTTATTTTATGACTAATATAACCTAATCTAGGCTTTCTCATCTTAGTGAGCTTACTTTGGGTATCTGAAGAAGGCATGTGTAGTGTGAAATAAAAAAAAAATAATAAGCTGTTCATTATCTTGCAAGTTTTAAACCGAATGGTTAAACAATAAGTTTGGACAGCGTGTGAAACCTAGAACTGCAGTGAAGCAGAAATGCACAGAACTTATGCTGGAAACAATTTACAGTACAGTTATGTGGATACATAAGTGGATAAACACATTTAACAGATAGATTTTCAACCATTTCACAAAAATAAAAAAAAATAGTTTATTCCTCCATGTTTACAGCCATCACTGAAAGGTCAGCTTCTCTTTCATCTGGACTAAGTTTCCTTAAAAACAACCCATTTTAGTGAATAAAGAACAAACTAATGAAGAATGAGAGAAAAGAAGGAGTCAGTTCTGCAGTATTTCCTGAAGGGCTTCATAATGTGAAACTGAAAGAATGAGTATATAGAGCGTCTTTGTTGACTCCTCCTCTGTACCAGCACAGGAAAAACATCTGCAGTCAAAAACTGAACCATCCATTTCACTGATCAGATCACTTTGAACCTGAAACACTGACTATAAACACTTTAAATAGAAATTTAAATTTATTTAAATTTCAAATAAATAGTTGAAGTCTTTGCACAGTTAATTTATGTCTTAAAGATTCCACTTAATTTAAAAAATCTGACAAAAGACAAATTACATTCAAATAGAAATGGATGAAATTCTATTTTCTATTAGGTAGTCACTGTTACTAAATTAATTCATTTTGTGAAAATTAATTTACTGTTAATATTACTATTATTATTGTTAGTATTTATATAAATGTTAGTATTTATATAAACAAAATGTTTCTACAGTATTATCTCCTCATAGCGTGTGTACGTGAGAGAGACAGAGAATTAATTCAGTGCTGCAATTTTCACTCTCATTTTGTATATAGGTACAGTAACTCGTCAAATGCCAATACATTCTGTTGCACTGTTTATTTTTTTTAGCATTACCTTTCATCTGTGAAGTTCAGTGTTTATAAACAACTACACATTTGCCATATTAGGGTTTTTTTTCTTTTCATAAGAATAAGATTTTATCTAAAAGACATAAATGTGTAATTTATGTTAGTATATTTGTTATTCATACTCTGTCTATATATAGAGTATGTCATGTGAAATAGCACATTTTTATAAACTGTATTTTACATATTTTGTAATGTAAGCTCAGTTTGCAGCAAGAGCTGTGAGGATAGCACTTGTTTACGTGAGAGAGACAGAGAACTCATTCAGTGCTGAACTCATTTTGTACAGAGACAGAGCGAGAGAATACACTGATCAGGCATAACATTATGACCATCGTTTCTTCACTCATTGTCCATTTTATCAGCTCTCCAAAGACAGCAGCCATTCAGATTATTCGTTTTTTTTGTTTTTTTTGTTTTTTTTAATAAATGTTAGTAACAGCTCTGAATGAAATCATAAGCTTAATTATTTGTAGGTCAGTAACAGCTCACAAACCTCAGTCTATTTTGTCTTGCATTGCAGTTTATTGAATTGAAATGCCCTCTTGTGGTCGAGGTTAGTATGGCATGCTAATTGTTAGCCAGTTAGCTCCACAGTATAAGGTAAAAAAAAGAAAACAGCTGTGCAGAGTTGGGGTAACATGCTCAGTGGTGAAGAAGAAAAAAAAATAGATTTTTAACAGCTGACATTATACAAATTTACCTGGGGTAATTTGATATCCTCCCACCTTACTTCTCAAATTTTGATATTAGCCTATTCTCTAATAGGTACATCTCTTCGTCCATCAATTTGGCCATTGCATGTTGCGCTCACTCGTAAAAACTGATTTCAACTGTTTTTACCAGTCTGCTTTACCTTTCAAGGTCAATTTGTCCCTCTTTTCACTGGGTCAGTGTGGAGAAGGGGGCGTGGCCGAGCGTCGAATGCAGGACGGAGAAGCCGGTCGGGCTGAACCAGCGGGCTAAGTAGCTGATGCTGTTCACCTGTGCCTTGTTTCTGCCAGCGTACATAGTCATCTCTTCCCCCAGTAGGGGGCAGAGCCCAGAGAGAGGAGACCCGTGAAGGCGTGAGAGCGGAGCTAAGCCAAACTGAACTGAGCTGAACTAGAAAAAAGAAAGAAAGAAAGAAAGAAAGGAAAAAAAAAAGAGAGGACTGAAAAGTCCTAGTGAGCATCTTGTCTTAATTTGTCTGTGGGCTGAAAAGCTGTGTGGTTTTTGCGTAGTGTATAAATAATAATAATAAGCTCTCCGCCTTCACACCTGCCCCCGGCGTCCTTCCTCCACCCATTATTAAAGTTGTTACAGTCAGTAAGTACACACAGGCCTCTCTGTGAACCCAGTGTCTAGAATCTCCTATGCAGACAGACTAAGGCCTACCATTTGTGAAAGAATTAATATTCTCTGTTAGCCAATACTACCTATTTGGTTATTAATTACAATATCTAGTCTATTGGATTACTGAATATTTATTCAAAAGCTCTGTCATGTCCTACAAAACTCCAAAAAACTAATTTCCAGCAAGATGCTTAAAATTGTTGCCGAATTTGAGCTAACAATTGTGTTGAGATTAGTTTGGCCTCATCATTTGTTAAGGAGAAAATAATGGCCGAATCTTAACCTGCGGGGCTTCTTCCTTCAAATTAGACTTTTAGAAATACACTGATTACGCACACACAAAATCTTTGTCAGACGTGACTAACATGTTCCTTCTCTACATAAACCAGGAGAAGAAGAATCAAACCATTGGTTGTTGGAGGCAGAAAAAAAATAAATATAAGAAAAAATGCAAACCAACTCCACTTAGGATCAGACCTAACAACAAATCTTTAACTGTGGTTAAACACTGTACACACATACCAACACTGTCTTTAGCTGTTCCTAAGAGCTGATCAGTAATGTTAAACATATGGGCCAAGGATTGCTGCAGTCCTGCACGAGGACTCAGGACCCTGCAGTTTCTCATTCAAACGCTGGACAGAAATACAGACCTTTTGACTTTTGACCATGGAACTAAAGGCCTTTTCATACAGAGTCTGATTTTTACGCATGAAAAACAAACTGGAAAATTGGATCTGCACAGTGCTTACAACTTGGTTATAATTGGAGAGGGTGATCAATGGACAATTGTTTTCATCACCACAAAACGACACTATGAGTACTTGGGTCATGCCATTCAGCCTGTTGAATGCTCCCTCAGTGTTTCAAGCATTCATTAATGACATACTCTGTGACATGATTGGAGAATTTGTTATTACATACATAGATGATATTCACATCTATTCTCCTGATTTTGAAACCCATGTCCAACAAGTCTGATTAGTCCTCCAATGGCTTCTGTAAAACAGCCTTTATGTCAAGGTTGAAAACTGTTAGTTTCATTTACAGTCTATGTCCTTTCTAGGTCACATTATAAGTGTTAATGGCATTGTTATGGATGATCGTAACATAGATGCTGTAGTTAACTGGTCCAAACCTGCTATTGTAAAGGAACTGCAACACTTCCTAGGATTTGCCAATTTTTATCAGTGCTTTATTTGTAATTTTAGCAGCATAGCTGCACCCCTGACTGCCCTCTTAAAGGACTGGCTGCCCCTTATTAAGATCTCTTTGATTCAGTGAGAGATAGATGAGGACATTGAAAAGGCTCCAATGAATGCTAACAGCAAATCAATTTGTTGATCTAAGTTCTTATTTTCAATCAAATCGTGATGCAGCAATGAACTGGCAACATGCATTAACAAATCTATGTTTAATGAAAGATAGTAGTGGATTCACAGGACAGAATCTCCACTCT